TGGCGATAATATAATTACACGTGTAGTAACCCTTTGACGGATAAAACTCTATTGAAAATGTCTTAATTTTATCTGGGATATTTTAAAGAAATAAAATAATGAAGTATTAATATCGATTAACAACCATTATAATTAGAATTAAAAGGTACAGAAGTTGCGCTGCAATATAGTCGCTGCAAAGAGTAGCGTATGAAGCATGATTTTTACGTATAGCTTTATCTCCAAGATATTTTTAAAGAATATAAATATTTAGATGTGACGAAATGTGTTTTGCGCTAAAATTTAGTAGTATCGATTTTAGAGTATCAATTATATTCTTATTAGGTATACAAATGCACGGTACTTTTTACGTTTCATCTGCTATTCTCGCGAAAATTTCTACTTTCGTGGAAACAATGCCGCATCTCGGTTTGCAATCACCTGGAATTAGCATAAATCGGACGTTTCGGCAAATTGCAGACGATCTATGCGGTCGGGCGCGCTCTATTCCGCGAAGCGTGTCCTCCGTGTGTTTCGTAACGTCACGGGGCGAGGAACAGGTGGACAGTTTTCGAAAATTATAGATCGGGCAGGGACTTCTGAAAATTGCCCGCCAATTCCACACTTCGCCGTTTTCATTATGGTGTCGTGACGGAGGTCAGAAAAAAGGTAGGAGGGAGGGAAGATCCAGGAAGGCGAGGAAGGCATTTCGGACAAATTACCGGCGGGACCGTTGCACAGCGGAGAGCCCGGGTTATGGCTCCCGTATAGCCTCCTAAGACCAATTATTCGGACAAACCTAATTATATCTACCTCCTCCACCTCTCTCGTCCTTTTTCCCGCTCTTAGCTCAGCATAAAAAAGCAGGACAGGTTGCGCTACGAAGTTTTCGATCTTCGCGCTCGGGAGCCGGGCAGATGTCGCGCGGCGTCCCATATAAATGTCTATATTTTACGCGTACGGCATGTCTAGAGATAATGGGATAATTAACAGTTTTAATGGCTTTCACCGGGACGCGCGCGGCTCATTTACATAATCCGGTATATTTACAGTACGTTTTACAGGATACGTGGAATCTCATTATCCCGTTTGCAAATTCATTTTACTCAAATTTTAGCGTTTTAGCAGATACTAATATTGACGGTAGCCGTAATATCCGCAGAGCCGATGCGATTCGCAGCACAGCGTCCAACGGTTTAATCGGAACAAACAGGAGGATGCTGTATTATACAAATAAAAAAAAATCGGAGGTGACTCTGATTATTTTGCCCGTCGCACGTATCGAATGCGAGAGTTAAACCGCTGTGTTGAATAAAACTTGTCTAGCCCGCCGCTGTGACTGTCACATCCATTTCAATCGGTAAAATTGAAACCATATCTGTTTTTCTAACAACTCTTGTATATATGCATTAAAATGAAAAAAATATACAATCACATAATTTATAATATTTCTGTATCAGAGTATACATTTTTATCGTCGTATTTTCCAAGTTTGTTTAATCAGCTTTTCTTTTACATGATGATAATCATAGGTTGAGATATAAGAATCACACAATGAATCTTTCACTTTTTCGAAACGTATTTTAAAGCGTTCAGTTTTGTTCCATTTGTCTCTATCTGCCTCTGTCTACCTCTGTCACTCTTCTCTCCTTGAACAATCGAGAGAAAATAGCGGTTAACAGTCGAAATGAAGTTCGAACCTGTTGAAAGAACCGGCACGAGGCTCTCGTCCGGGTCGCCAGCTTTAATTCGGACGGCTGACATATGGTAGCTTTCGGGCGCGCTGCGGCCTGCGCACGACTGACGTTACGGCAGTAGTCGACGACAGGCGATCTGCGGTTTCTGTCATTTACCGATAATCACTCGGTGTATTCACCCTGTGTGCGCGCCGCCGAAAACCCCTACCAATGCACCGTGGAGCACCGTGGTCACGGTCTAGCTTCCGGCCGCGCCACGGAGGTGAGCTCCGGGCTAAGCCGATGCCGCCGCGTCGGTGCGCAATGGTCGTCAAATTGTTTCCCGGTCGTCGCCGGAAAGATGACACGTGGCCCACGGTCTCGGTTGTTACTTTTATTACTATGGGTATCGCTTCCGGTCTCCCGGGGGAGACAGGCCGGCACGGAAGCGCGGCGAGCGAGGAGTACCCCGGTCGAGAAAGCGTTATCTATCTCATCGGTCTATCGAGCAGGTGCTCGTAGATAACAGCCACGAAAATGAGAGATCTCCGTCCTTCCGCACGACGGTCAACTGTATTCACTGCCAGACGAGTCGAAAAGCTGCTTCTAACGCTGCAAGAGACGAAAGAACAATTGTCTCTACGATTCGGCAAACGGATTCGTTATGTAATGCATATATCGTCACGTGTCACTTACGCGTTACCATGTTGTTATAGACAGGTGTTTTGACATCGCAGCGGAGAAAGTTTACGTTGAGGGAAAGTAACCGAGTAATGTTCGTTAAAATTTTACTTTGATCTATATGTCACAACTCTCGACAACAAAAGAATTTACAATCTAGGATAGGTATTATATTACCGAGAGTACGTGACTTCGAAATTATTTTTCCGCTGCATGAATTTGTGCGAATATTTACGGGATGAAGCGTTTACGGTTAAATGCACGCGAACTCAACGACGTCCAATTTCGATTACTTTACTTATTACGCGAGGGGGAGAGGGGAGAGAGGGGTGAAGTTTTGGCGTGGTGCAATTTCTGCGCTTGCGACTCCGGTCTCTTGTCTCGCGGCACGACATCTCATACACGGCCGGTTTCACTGGCGAAACCCTTGAATAATTCACCGGTAAAGTATCGCCCGACCTAGCTCGGCTGGCTCGTTGGCTGGGGCTGTTCTGGCTGTCAAGTCGCCATGGCACGGAGATCCGCGGTGCGCTTTTCATTTCCAGTCGGCTTAACGCTCGTGTCGCACGCGAAAACGAGCGGGACGACGAGGAAATTAAGGGCTCTCGAGGCCGTCACGACGGGAAAAACGAGGAGCTCGTCCTCTCTTCTCGACGAGGGCGACTGTCCAACCCTCGTTTCACGAGCACGAGGAACGGATCCTCTAACTCGACTAAGCGGATCCCTCAATGTTCTCCCTACGGTCGACACGACACCGCGCCAACGTTGCCAGCAGGATCACTCTTTCGCTCTTCCGCCTGTCTCCTCGGCGTCTTTATCCTTTCTTGTTTTATTTTTCCCTTCCTTTTTTTTCTAATTCCGACGAGCATTTAACCAACGACGGTAAATATTCGAGACACGCAAAGCGGACGTGTCGCCCGTCCCGTCGCCCGCGTCTCGCCCCTTCGCAGATTGCAAAGGGGTTCGATCCACCCTAACGTTTCGCTTTTTCATAATAAAATCGTCATGCGGTGCCCCGATTGGCTGGGATCGCTCGAAGGGTCTCACAATGCACCGGAGGCTTGTCCACACCAATATTCGAGGGGCGAGGACGAGAAAGAGACACGGAATACGCGAGTGAAAGCGAGAAAAAGGGAGAGAGAGAGAGAGAGAGGGTGAGGGTAATGAGAGCAGAGAGAAAGAGAACGCGACACATTGGTTCTCTCCTGTCTCATACTCGGAGGCTGTCGCTGTGTAAATAGGGCACACCAAGAGACACACGCCCCACGCATTGTGTGTGCCCTCTCGTTTGAAGGGGCGCCCTTCTGTCCCCCTTGACAAAGGGTTGTCCCGGTCGCGCGGTCGCTTTAAAACTGAATTTTTTATTCAGTCGACAGGAAAGCGGCCATCATAGGCGCTGCCACATTCTCTGTCCTTCGCCCCTTTTTTTTTGCGAACGCGTGCGTGTACGGTGCACATTCTTTTCCCGATGACCTTCTATTCTGTTCGCCATATCCGTAAATAATCGGTCGAAGACTTAATTTCCAATCTGTGAAAATGGTATCCAATCTAGATATCTAAATACTATGAACGTTGTTACTTCGCGTCGAATATGAATCGATAAGAATAAATCACTAAAGACAACATATTAGTAACAATTAAGGGTAAAAAGGAACAATATTGTTTTTTAATCAAAACCTCTATATATATATTTCTCGACAGAATAGTCCTAAATTTCGTGCGTGGCTTGCTGAACATCCTGCCCGCGGGATTCGTCGTTACCGAACAAAGAGGGATTCCGTTTTAGTCATCGTCGAGCCAGAAGAATGGCCAAAATCGCCATCATCGTGGGACGTGCGGCACGACCACGTGGGGGGGATGATCCGGGGACAAGGCGGAAGGAGGGGAGTAAGCTTGGAAAGGGCGCTAAGTACACAGATGCACGCGTGCACGTCCTGCGGAAGGTACTTACCGCCCCGCGTACGAGTGATTAGCGATATTTTATTTCGCATGGGAAACCGGACAGATGAGAACTAGTTGAGTGGGAGCTCAGCTCTTTTTCATTAGGGCAAGTCCCGTCTCTAAACCTCGTCTCTAAACCACCCCTGTCCACAATATTCCCTCCCCCTTCTCTCTCTCTCTCTCTCTCTCTCTCTCTCTCTCTCTCTCTCTCTCTCTTCTTTCGTTCTATTCCCCTATTCTCCCTCCCCTCCTTTCCTGCCTACGGCTTTTGCAACGTCCCCCGACGCTGTCACGATGGCGTTACATCCAATATCCTCCGGCTCGGTCGGACGGTTCCAAAATGGACAGGTCTCGTCGAGAGGACGGCAAGAAATTGAAGTCCGCTTGCGCGCGCGGGGGATTTATCGATTGTAAATCAGCGCGACGTTTACGGCCAACGATTCGGCCGTCATTGTTTCCGCGACGTTTATTGAAGTAGCGCGACGCGTTCACAATCTGCTACGCTCGCAGTTAATTGGAGCTTTAATTAACTCTCTATGATCGCTGGTTACTTCTTTCGAGTAATACAATCGATGGATGTGTATATCGCGCTGCTTCATAAAGGATAAGTGCTTCATAAAGGATAAGCCCACATAAATTTACGTCAGATGTCTTGATGTTTGTGATATTAAATATTTTTATTATCATATAAAAATTAATTAATTTTGAGAATAGAAATAATAAAAGATTTGAAAACTTTAGAAAAGTGTCAGTTTGGAATATAATCACATGTTATAGAAACATTATTTCTTAGAAATTATTTTACATTTTTTCAGCGTAGATAACATGGTCTAGCTTTAGTAAGAAACAAAGAAGATCGATTGTATCTCAATAATTTTCATATAAATATATCACTAGCACATCGAATTTCGATATCATACAAAAAATCGTAAATTCGAAGTTTTACATCCTTAAAAAAATCTGAGATTTTATTTTGGAACGCGACATCTGCCCTGTTATTATCCGACCGCGCGACTGTACCTCATCTTCGGAGAATTGTAGCGAATTGTTTCTTCCGAAGGAGACGTGTGTCTACCGTGTTTTCACGTACACGACACCAACACACAGGTGCGAGGCCTGAAGGAAACAATCACGGAACGCTTTCGTTAAGAGAGAGCGAACAAACGGACGGACGGAGAAGGCAGGGACTTTAATATCAGGAATCAGGATCCGCCATTTCTCTCTACCGGGCGTGGAATCCCTCGTAAGGATATTTGTATATACACGCGCGCAACGTATATCAGTGTGCACGTGTACACAGAGGGCATGGAGGTTGGCAAAACCCGTCCTTGTTAGCAGCTGCGTAGCATCCCCCGCCCGTTACACAATGCCCTCGCGCTCCCTTGAAAAACGATGGGTGGATTAATGACGTCACGGGCAACAAGGAACGCACCTGGCTACTGTCCAGGATCCACCAATCCGCGGCGTCCTTCGACCTCCACGCGCCATCCGAGTAGATAGGATAAACCATTGCGACGCGCTATTCCTAGAACAAAGAATTAAGACGCCCACTCGTTATCGCGATCCTGAGTAATCTCGTGAGGAAATTAATAGGATGTCTGACGTAAGCTGATTTGACAGATGATATGTATTGTAACATTTGAAATCAACAAATCTTGCTTAAAGAAGAAACGAATATTTGTTCTATTAAAAATTATTGTAAACGAGCAGCGATGATGGTTGAATTAAAACTTAAATCTTTTTATATTTCCTTCATCATTAAAACGAAAAAGAAAAAACCAGATTAACGACTTATCTAATTCTTTCACGGATTTATCAATTATTCTAACAGTAGCACGGTTTCTAAACTTCGCAATTTTCCAATTTTTTTATATACCATTCAAGCAATATGAAAAAAACAAAAGTTAAAAAAATTACAGTATTTAAAGATTCCGTAACATTTTAAAGTAAAAAACCATGTGCATTAATATTATCTATGTAGTACATATTAATAAATCTTGATTATTTTCTTCATAGTTATTGTTAGAATTACAAATTAACAGAAGGGACCAGCAGAGTATTCTTTAAATATTTTCTAAATACTTAGACATTTATGTTATCGAATAATATAAACTCGAGAATGGACTTTGAAACCGAAATGGTCTTATGGGGCACGGACCAAGGACACGAGAACTCCGTACCAGTCGAACCCGCGCGCTTATAGTCGGTCGTTTTATTGTATTATTGTCACGACTCGCGGGATCCTCGGGAGAGACTAGGACTCGTAGAAGTTCCACGACACGTTTATGAATTTATAGCGCCCTTTGTGCCCGGCCCGGTAATCCAACGGACAGGTACCTACCGTTTATTGGGCTCTTTGTTATTATACGTCGTAAAGAGAGACGGCGTAGGCGTGGGGAGGAAGAGTTTTCCGCGCTGAAAAGGCGGCACGCGGAACCCCTTTTTCCTCGTAATTAAGACGCGAGCCATACCGTCGAATGGCGAGAGAAAAAGCGAGAGAAACAGAGAGAGACACCGAGAAAGAGACAGAGGGAGGGAGGGAGGGAAGGAGGCAGAATCTTTAGAAACTTTTCAGTCGAAAAGATGGATGCAGGAAGGGGAAAGGGTTGCGCTGATGATGCATAAATTAGGTGGGCTAATGGGCCGAGGTCGTCGCTGGAGATACCGTCTGAGAAAAGACCGGGGAAAATATTAATGCCCCGGGCTCTGACTGGCTGGTTGGCTGGCTGGCTCGTCTGCGGACGTCCGCGCATTTTCGGGGCGGACGCTCGTAATTACACTCCTTCGTGCTCTCTTTTTCGCGATCGGCCACCGACATCAGCCGAATCGTCGTCGGGAGACCCGTGGAATTACGGCAATAATCTATACGTAGAAAACTTGTGGCCCCGCCGACTTCGACCAAATCGCGAAATTTCCGAAAACTTTTCGAGAAAAGCCACGGTATTTAAAAGAGCAGTATTGAGTAAAGAATATATATATGTCATATATTATTATTGAAGAATTTTTATTAGAAAATTTATAATCCTTCAATATTTTCGGAGATATCAACTTACCCATCTATTCTATTGCCTGCAAGTATTTATGACTTTCATTTTATTAGCGAATCAAACAGAATAATATATAGACAAATTCTATTTATTATTTATGTATTATTAATAGATATCACTTATCATCCAATTACGCTGCCGAAATGAAATCCAACCTAACGATTCCAGGATTTCTTGTCTACACGATCTAACAGTGCCGGCGTTTCTATCAATAACTGATGATCCTGCTGACCCTTCATTAACCCCGATGCATTAATTTTAATTCTTTTTTTCTCCCCCCGTCGGACCTCTCTTTCACGCTCGCGCATATCTTACGTCCGTATTTACATCGTCCGATAGGAATAAAACATAGAACGCGAACCCCGCAGCGACCGGCGGTGATATATCCAGCGTAATCACGACCGTACCGGGATTCAAGTCTGGTAGCCATCGTCCTACGAGATCACGTACACGCTCGAGTATGAGATGGAGCGCCGAGAAAGGCCTTACGAAGGCACCGGCGAGCAATAATTCTGCACTGCCTCCCCGCGCCGCCCTTGGACCCCCTCGGCGGGTACCAAGCGCCGATCTGACGCCGAACAACAACTCCCCCGCCTCGCAACGCTTCGTCGATCACTCACGACGCTGCTCCTTGTTCTTTCGTGGCGAATTTACGAGCGAATATCGCGCGTCCGTCAATAGGCGTGCTGTTGAGTAAATACCGAAGGAGCCGCCGATGCCAAGTACTGCGAGTTAACATGCGAGATATTGACAAGATAGTAATTAAATAATATTTAATTAAGCGAGCACACACAATGATGTATTAACAGACAATTTTGCTAACTATCGATGTCATATACCCACACAAACTATATATAGCATGTAAAAATATCACAATTTTTTTTTATTGTTTCAACTTTATTTGTATAACAAATTGTACTCTCTATTGATTCTCCCAATTCGATTCCAATAATACGAATTCGGAACAGGAGACTACAGTTATTATACATTTTTAGTCTCACTAGTGGAGACCTCTCGCTGCAATAAATTCAAGGCTCTTGCGCCTCCGTAAAAAAAAATTATCCGTAAGTGAAAGCAAAATTAATTAAACGCACTTGCATTGGGCGCGTCGATGTGATGTCGCTCGTAAAATAAATACGGCGGGGCCGGACCGTATTTATTTCGCGTCGGCGAGCGCGAACGCCGCGATGCATCGTGAAAGGCGAAAAATCTTTCCCAATAATGGCAATCAGGTCTGCCAATCGCAGACGGGATGTGTACCGATCGCGGACAGAAAACCGCGCGGCCGATATCGGCGTGTATATGTAGCGGTATAATGATACATATACACGCATATATGTGTATACGCTCTCCTCTCTCTCCATCTCTCTCTTGGTCCTTAGATCCGCGTCTCTCTGCGCCCCGTAATTACCAGGGTCGGCCTTCACCGCGGCAATTTGTCAAGGCTGTAATAATCCCGGCGGACCTATGGCATTGTATACATATCGGCAGATGCCTCCCACCGAACCAGATAACATCGCCGGGCCGCTCGCCCGGCCGGGCTCTCGCCGTTCTCTCTCTCTCTCTCTCTTTCTCTCTCTTCTGGGTACCATCAGGCCCCGTGAAAACCATCCATTTCGAGTCCGCGGCTCACTATCATCGGCTTGGTTTTGACGCCCGTCTCAAATTAAAGCGAATCGACACGCTGATGGATACGCCGATACACCGAGAGCGATATATACAAATACCCCCACTTTCCCTTCTCCCTCTGTCGCGCATTTTTTTTCTCACCCTCATTCTTCTTTTCTCGCCAGAGATAGGCATTGCGCGCATCGGGGGGACGATACATTCCCACCTGTGTGACCGCTGTACTACGTAATGCGAAAGAGAGAGAAAGAGAGAGAGATTGCCGGACTGTAATTTATACGACTGACCCTCGTTACATCGCGATCCGTCATTCGCGATTATGAGGAAACGATGCTTCGCGAACTTTTAGCGACTGCGGAGGTGAGGAGGAGGAGGAAAGAAAGAAGGGAACAGGGTATTTATTATGAACCGCGGGGCTGTGGATTCCGGAGAAGGGAGAGGTCCCGAGAAAACACGGAAGCATCTCCGCGCAGGTAACAAACGATGAGAAGCGTGATTAATACCGCGCGGTACGATACTTTGTTGTGTAATATGTATTTTGAAGAAAGAGTATAACTGATCCTCTCTCCGCTTCCCCGTTACACACAAATACGTACATATAGACAACTTATTTTGAAAATTGAATAAAGCGTTGTTATATTCGAGATGTTAGAAATTTCTAGCACAAGTAATTAATGATAAATTTAGATTATTTTTCCGTCCAAGAAATTGCATACTTCTGCTCGAACAATTACTATAACGAAGTTTCATGTCTGTTAAAGAGGTATTTCCACTAATCAATAGCCAACAGATCAAACCAAGCGCCCGCGTGCACGGCACCGGTGCAATACGTAGCCATGCTTATAAAGAGCGGAGTGGTTTTAGGAAGCGCGCGAGACGTTAAGTGCGCGTAATGAGTTCGCCTCCGCGAGATCGCCCGTGCACATCTCGCCGGCGTTTCACTCGACGGCGGAGACCTAAACGATTTTCCATTTCAACGACCGTCGGCCTTTCTCAGAGAGCGCGAGATCGAAGAGACCGAGGGAGGAAGGGACGGAAAGAGAAAGAGACCAGCGCCACGAAAACGACGCGTGGAACAGAAAGAAAAAGAGGAAGGGAAGATCGCTCGACGTGCTACAACGTGACTAGCCACATCTCCTCTCCCTCCCTGTATACCTTTTCTTCGTTTTTTTTCTTTCTCTCTCTCTCTTTCTCTCTCTCCCTCTCTCTTTTTGTGTACGAGGCGCTTCTAGCTGGATCTCGGTTAATGGTGCATGGCAGTTGCAGGGGCCAGTACGTCAGGTCGGTGCAACAGAGTGCGAGCATCCAGCTATCTTGATGAGATCTTGTTTTCCGTGGGATCCCCCGCGGTGAGCTGCGATTCGTTCCCCGTGTTGCGCGTTCCCGTTCCATCGCCGGAAAATCACCGATGACTGCGTATAGCCGTGCACGGACGTCGGCGTGCAGCACGTCGGGCAACGACGAATGACAGGAAACGATCGCGGCGCATGCGAACGCGATCAACAACGCGGGCGTGTATAGAGAAGAACGAGAGAGAGGGAGAGGAAGAGAGAGCGCGCGCGCGGCGAAATGCGGCTTTAATTACGCGCGCCACACGGCGCATCGGTCGCTCGCGCCTCTTGCGCTCTCGCGGCTCGCCTTAATTAATAATACAATTAACACGCGCCACGATCGCCGGGCCATTCCGTTTGAAAGTGAAAGTCCCCATCGCGTGTCTACTTTAAATTGTCGGGGAATTTAAGCGAGATTCGATCTCCGCGTCTAACGTGCGCGCCCAATTAGATTCTGTTATTTCGAAACGCGACGTGTGCGTCGCGGTTTTTTTTTTTTTTACCGCTACGTATAATTTCCC